TTTATTCTATGTTTCCTGTATAGCCTGTCATGGTTATACGTTTCCCTACTTGCTTACGTAGCATCAGGTATGTCTCAAGCAGTGATCGCCTTATCGTGCTTTTAGGTGCTTTTATTATCTGGTGCCTTCCCTCATCCTAGGTTTCTAGTTCGTGTGCTGGCCACTGGCCTGGCCACACTGCAGAAGCCTGAATCAAGTTTCTGATAAGCAAGCATTTTATTCCAACACAAAACCCCTGTGAGATAAGGGGGTGGTTCTTAACTTGGGCTTTCCCAGGGATTAGTAATGGTTGAGGAGTTGGGGGCCACAATTCATGTCTCCTAACCTTCTAAAGGTCTGCAGTAGGCAATCTGATGCTTTGTGATGTAACCAGAATGGGTATGGCCAATATTTTCTGCAGTTTGGGGAGGTTTTATGGCTTGTATTAGGAGCAGGAGGCCTCCAGAGGCTAACCACTCCCATTCCCATTTGCCTCTATCCAAAACCTAAAAGGTATGAAGTTACCCAAGCAAAATCCCGCCATTTTGCTGCCAAATTTGGACAGGGGCTCTGCAATCTTAGCATGTTTGGGGACTGTGTGAAGGTTGTGAGTTGCCTCCTCCTTAACCTGGTTCACTTTCTTTCCTGCAACCCAGAGGGATATGGTTAAGACAGGGATAGAGGTGGGTCTTGGGGAAATATTGTGATTCCCTCTTGTTACTCAGCAACAATCTGTAGCTCATCGTTGAGCAGATTCAAATAATACTTAGAGGACACATTCTTTGTTCTTTTCTTACCATGTATTTACATTTATGAATGTTGAACGTTCTGCAATAAATTAAAGGTTCGTTTTCTTGTATGCTTCCTGTGCTTTCCCGAAACACAGCCCTCTTGGCATCTAGAACCCCTTTTGCTCTTGAGGATTGTTCCATCAGGGCATATTGGATCATCTATAAATGGCTGTCTCCTATCCTTCCGCTGTGCCTGTGACCTAGCCCTCCAACCGAAAGGGGCTGATACAGATGTGGTAGGTAAGGCAACCAGCTTCATGCAGTTATAAGAGATGCACAAATTGTAATTTTTATTCCTTGCATTAATTCCCCCACTCCCAATACTTGTAATCTGCCTCTCTCAAGATGGAAAAGTTATATAAATATAAAAAGATGAAACTATCCTCTCTGAAGAAGAAAGATGGCATTCTCCAAACAACAAGTTTGCCCATGATTTACTGAATTTACTGAAAAGTTTCCGTTCACACAAACCACTGAGGTTCCTTTTTTATCCGAGGGCACTGGACAAACAACTTCTACCAGGTCATAAGGAAAAATATGCAACTAAATGAGTTTATTATTGATTGATTAGCCCTTAGGCCACATCAGAATATACAATATAAAACAAAAGAGTCATCAGACCATATATAAAAGATAGAATAAGAGAAACAAATTAAAAAAGAAAGAAAAAGTGCAAATCATATTTCTATATCACCTCTCAATATGCAACCAAATGAAGAATTTCCCCAATGTGGGAAAGCAGGACCCTGAATTTGCCAGTCTTTTGGTGTGATCCTATGGAGTGTGTGACAATTTATAATCAATGTTTGTTCAACATCATACAAAGCTAACCCTTATTCCATTACTGGCTATCATGAATAAGGATGTTCTCTATCACAGATTCCCAGTTTGGAATAAAATTCACACAGTGAGGAACAGCAGGAAGTTCCACAAGGTTCATTGTGGTTTACTGCTGGGACTGGCATCTTCTATACTATTCATGACTTGGATGTTGTTTAATCAGATTTGCAGATGACACAAAAGTGACTGGAGTAACTAATATGCTGGAAGACAGAAACAAACTCAAAATGATCTAAAACTGATAAAGGAAATCTAGGCTGCATCAACAGAAATATGGCTTACCATGGTATGTCAACCTGATCAATATTCAAAGGGGACAGAAGATCATGTATCTCTATCATCATCTGCTACCTCCCTCCCTAACTCCCTCCCTCCCTACCTTCTACCTATCTACCCACCCCTCCATCCTTCCATCTATCTATCTAAAAGAATCTGGTTCTCTTTTAGAATTTACTATTAGGTGCTCCTTGGTGTTCACATCAGGTCTCAGGAGGAGGATGTAGCATTTGGGGACAAAGATGCAGCCCAGTAAGCCCAGGCTGGAGGCCAGGATGGAGAAGATCTGGACAGCCACCATGTATTTCCCTTTGGTGCTCAGGTAGGTGGGCACAAAGGAGACCCAAACGCTGCAGAAAACCAGCATGCTGAAGGTGATCCACTTGGCTTCATTGAAGCTCCCTGGCAGCCTGCGAGCTAGGAAAGCAACCAAGAAGCAGATGGCAGCCAGAAAGCCCATGTAGCCCAGTGCACCGTAGAACATGGAGACTGAGCCTTCATTGCACTGCAACAGGATATGTCCTGGTTGGGAATGCATGTCAGAGTCTGGGAATGGGGGAGAGATTCCCAGCCATATCATGCAGATGCCCCCCTGAACCCCAGAGCAGGACAAGACAATGGAGTTAGCCAGAGTCTTCCCCAGCCATTTCCTCATCCTGCTGCCTGGCTTTGTGGCCTGAAATGCCACCACCACCATGATAGTTTTGGCCAGCAATGAAGAGACAGCCACTGAGAAAACAACGCTGAAAGTGGTTTGTCGAAGAAGGCAGGTCACCTTCCTGGGGTGACCAATGAATAGAAGGGAGGTCAAGAAGGAAAGGAGGAGGGAAACCAGGAGAATGTAGGTGAGTTCTCGGTGGTTGGCTTTGACAATGGGAGTTTCTCGGTATTTAATGAAGATTCCCAAGATGAAGCTGGTGGTTAGGGAGAAAGCAAGGGCCAAGGAAGCCAAGATGAGACCCAACATTTCTTCAAAGGATAGGAAGCTGATAACCTTTTGGACACATTGATCTCTGTTCTTATTGGAATGCTGGTCATCTGGACATTGGCTGCAACTGGATGCATCTGAAAAACACAGGCCATTGTTCTTTAGCTAGTATCTAACAATATCTGTGGCTGTAACATCATGAAAAATCCAATTTTAATCATGTGTTGGGATTATGTTTTTTGAGGTGATGAAGTGAGTGTTTTGTCTTGGAGAAAATTTATCTATTTGGTCGGTAGGAGTCGAAAACAAGAGTAGAAGAGAGATTGGGCCCACATTTTGCAATATTTGGCTAGGGCCTAAGACAGTTGCAAAAAAGATAAGGGGTAATTCATGCAGGACAAATGATTAATGGACAATAGTTGGGAGGTACTATGGGACATGTAGCTGAATTTGAACTAAATGCTGAAAGAGAATCAGGGCATTGTCTTTGAATCCTACCATGGGCCTCATGTTGGCAATTAGTGGACATGTAAAAATCTTAGAAAAATGTTGACCCCTACAACGTACACTAATTCAGAAGATTTAAGATCAGTATATAATTGAAAGCAGAGGTGTTTCTTTGGGGATTGATAGATAAACAGTTGGAAAAAAGTCATGGAAGTTTGTTTTTATACATGATGAATGCAGCGTGATTTTTTTATGCCCAAACGTGGAAAGACATGACATTACCCACAATGAAGGAATGGATGGTGAAGATGACGGAACTTGCTGAGATCGCCAGATTGACATGATTGATCAGAGAAAAGATAGTAAATTTAAAACTGACTGGAAGCCCTTATAGACTTTTGAAGTGAAACATTTGGAAACGTGATAGGAACTGCCTCTTAAATCAGCTGTGTCAGCATGGAAAAGATGTGGCTTTGAAGTGATTGAACATGAGATGCATTGTAGGTTATTCCAAGGCATCTCTTCTGAAATTATTTGCACTGGTCCATTCTATAAAGTAGGAAAAAAACCCAGATGCAAGCTTCAACACTGAACAAAACAGAAACCTTGGTTGTAAAATTGAAACCTGATGGGGTGATTGGAACCCCAATCTTGACCTTAGGATTGGATACTTTGTTTCCAGGCTTCCCCTGAAAACCTGGCATGTGGTCCTGAAAGCTTCTCAGAAAGTTACTCCATAACTAATTTTTAATATAATACAGTAAGGAAGTTATTGAATACATGGGGAGAAGTGTCTATTTTATTTTTGGAATGGAAGAAATAATGCATTCCAGATAGAGTTCCACTGCCCACCAGTGAAGTCCACATCATGACCAAGTTCAGATTTCCAGGGAGAATTCATCCTTTTGCCCACAGACATTTGAGGAAGTGAATGTTAAGGGGAAATTGCCACTGATTTTTCAAGGCTGAAGACCAATGAAATGCCAAACCCCACAAGATTTATCTTCTTTCCCAAAAGGAAACAAGAATACAGCAAGTCAAGGATTCAGCCATGTTTCATTATTTTGCATTTAATGGCCAGACCATCATGCAAAATGGTATGATGGTCCCAAATTTTGGAGATGGTTGCTGACAGGTCCCCCCCCCCCCCACCC